AAGTCAATTTGAAAAATGTCATTTTTGGTGTGTACATTTGTAAGAATGTCATTTAGAAGTGTCTATTTGCAAAAATGCCACTAATTATAGATTTTTAAAGCCCAAATTTTAAAATTATAAAAAGTCTAAAAAATGTTTTAACTTCTAAAACCCTTTAAACCCTCAAAACTAAACTCTAATACAACATAGTTAACCCAAACATAAATGATATCATGAAAAAATAATTTTGAAAAGTGGCATTTTTACAAAGATTTTGAAAATGTGGCATTTTTGAAAAGTGGCATTTGAAAAGTGATATTTTTTGAAATTTCTGAAGTTATATCTAGGTCTATATTAAGGTATCTTAAAAGTGAAAGAGGAGTTATTTTTTAAAATCAATAGGCTTTTATTAGTTTGGAGGATATTGTAATCTTTTTTTTTTGGGTTTTTTGCAAATATGAATTTTATAAACAACTTATTAGTGTTTTTAATTTATATAAGAGCCTGATTTTTAATTTCGTATTAGGCCTCAAATATATCAAAACCGGTCCTGGTTTAGAAAAATTTTAAAATATTATATAAGATTTTTATATTATTCGGATATTTTAGGGTAGATTTAAAAAAATTTCATTAAGGTTGAACCAATGTTTTAGTTGTTTTTCTGGATTTTTTCCGTAGTTTATATTATTTCGGGTACATCTGGATATAGAAAAATACCAACCTTAATCTTTAGGTCTTTCCCGGTTCTCCATTCATATAACCGAACCGAATTGAACTCAAACTAGAACCAAAAGTATACTGTACTTCTAAATATGTAATTGGACCTCAAGCCTTAGACCCGAAAACCCAAAATTCAAAAGAACCGACCCGAGCCCAAGACTTACTCCCGCATGAGACCATATGAGAAGTCCCTTTCCTCCTCATTAACCACAATGAAATGCGGTTGTGGATTTTGTTTTGTTTTGTTTTGTTTTTCGGTTATATAATTTTGGTTTTCATTTGAACGATTGACAATAAAGTAAACATCACGTTTTTTGATCATTTACATTAATTAACTAGGCAGTACCCGCGCCAATGCGCGGGAAAACGATATTTTAACAACACTAACTGAAACACCAATGAAAAGATATTAAATAATAAT